AATAGATTAACAACAACAACCAAAATGTTTCAAATGTGGGGCAGAAGTGAGCCACCACTTATCCACTTACTTGAGTCCACTGATTTTCTGTACTGGTCTGCGGTTCATTTTATCAAACACAGTGGAAACTCTTCAGGACTGATAACTAAGAGTATACTAGGCTTTTATTATTTAATCTTATTTTGTTTTATGGCATGTGATTTGACCTTGTATTTGAATCCATGTAATGATAAGCAGCATTACACAAGATTCTACCATTAAGTCAGTTTCTAAACCCACAAACACATCCCCCAGAAATCTGTTAACTTATATAGTGTTAAGCCCATCCATTATCACCAAAGAGCCTCTACTAAGGCCGGGGTGGGAGGTGTCTCAAAATTAATCACATTTTTTTCTTAATTTTTGGTAGGAAATATCTAACTTCCTAAGAAGTTGAGGATGTGTTTTTCTTTTTCATTAAATTTTATTCACTATACAGATTTCATAAAGACTCCAAAGTCAGGGCTCTGATTTCCCTGTTGTGAGTCCTTCTTTTTTTGTGTGTTTATTTATTTATTTATTTTTAAAGATTTTATTTATTTATTTGACAGAGACACAGCGAGAGAGGGAACACAAGCAGGGGGAGTGGGAGAGGGAGAAGCAGGTTTCCCACTGAGCAGGGAGCCCGATGTGGGGCTCAATCTCAGGACACTGAGATCATAACCTGAGCCAAAGGCAGACGCTTAATGACTGAGCCACCCAGGTGCCCCTTTGTGTGTGTTTAGTATAATTCTTCTAGTTACTGTATTTGAAGGTAGTCCAATGAACTTCAAGATTATGCAAATTAGATAATATAGTCTAATATCTTTCTCTCTACCTGCTTATCTGCCCACGTGCAGCATCCCACTAATGTGCTTAAAGAGTTGGATTAAAGGCCATAGGTTGCCGAGAAGATTGTCCTAGGTAAATACCACCAATTTGATTAGTGACATACAAATAAGCCGCTGACCTATAAGAACTCTCTTCTTTTAAATATTTGTAAAATAGTGCAGTCTTTGTTAAGCAAGGTATTGCTCTCAGGAGTAAGTTAACATATGCTCCAATTTTTAGCTTGTGTTGGTGAGAGAAAAACAGCTAATTACACTTCTGCTGTTTGTTTATTGAACCTTTGTTACGATCAAGTGAAAACAAGCAATATTGCTTGTTATTTTTATACCTCTGTGCCTTTACTCATGCTACTTCTGTCTGGCATGCCCTTTCCATATCACTTGAAATGTATTATTGCCCTTATTCATTTACTATCTTAAACCCTTAAAGAACAATGACTAGGTCTTTTATACATTCACTCACTTATCTATGCAATAAAGATTTCGCTATGTGCCAGCTCTGGGGAATACAGCGGTGATAAAAACAGACAAAAATCCCTGCCTTCCTGGGACTTATATAGACATGATAGAACAGGGGCGCCTGGGTGGCTCAGTTGTTGAGCGTCTGCCTTCAGCTCAGTTCATGATCCCAGGGTCCTGGGATGGAGCCCCGCATCGGGCTCCCTGCTTGGCGGGAAGCCTGCTTCTCCCTCTCCCACTCCCCCTGCTTGTGTTCCCTCTCTCGCTGTGTCTCTCTCTGTCAAATAAATAAATAAAATCTTTAAAAAAAAATGAAATGATAGAAAAAATGAGTAAAATATATTGTTAGCAATATGCGCGAAAGAAGTGGGGTAGAGAGTGTTGGGAGGATGGAGTTACAATTTTTGATAAGGCGGCCAAGGAAAGTTTGGCTAATGCAACGATTGAGCAAACACCTGAAAGAGGTGAGGGCAAACTGCATAGAAATCTGGGGATAGAGTGTTCCAGAGAGAGGGACTAGTAAGCACAAGGGCACTAAAATAGGAGGATGCTGGATTATGCCTGGTTTGAAGAAGAGTCGCAAGGGGGTCCATGAGGCTGGAGTAGAGTAAAAGAGGAATGATAATCTTGTTTATCCATAGGGTTTAACACTGTGTCTGAAACATATTAGGACTTAATATTTTTGATGAATTAATGAATATTTTGATGGTAATGTAAAAAAAGGCCAATATTTCACAAAACCTGAATTGTGCTAAATCCAGTTACTTTATTAACAAAAATATTTTCTTTGCTTGTCCTGACTTTAGTTTTGCCATTGAAACAAGTATGACTTTCATTAATTCAGGTTTTAGGTCAGTTCAGGATGTCATGTTGCAGTATATTACAATCTTCTCTTTGCACTTCTTTTTGTTAAAGTACCTACAAAGGACTGTAACACTAGAATATAAACACTAGAAAATACCAGCAAACATTGCTGGGGGGTATTCTCATAACTTTCAGATCTCTTAGCAAAGGTAGCAGTACTACTTAGAATCACTTCAATTGCCAGTTTAAGGACTTATGCTGCTTCCAAAACTTATTTCTCAGAACATCACTCATAGAATTTGTGTAAAGTGTACTATGCATATAATCTTATTACTCTTTATTTTATTTGAAAATGATTCACCATTAGCAGCAGGTGGGGCCATGAACACATGTACACCAAGGCAACTGCCAGCCAGCAAGACTGATTAGCTCTTGACAACTTTTCTCCCGACTGCTCCTTCCCTGGCTCACTTTGGACTCCAGGTGTTAGCATTCCTGGTATTGCTTTTGACTTCTCAGTGGATCCCTTTGAATCAGTAACCTCTCCATATTCATAGTTAATCTTTAACACTGATTGTTATACTTTCATTCTAATTATAATATTTTCTGTCTTCCTGATTTCTTGGCTGATTTTTTCTTGAGGTTCAGGAAAACATATTCAGTTCCCTACAGTTCCCAAGAAATGTTTGAATGGAAACACCAATTGTAAAAGATTTATTCCCTGAAAGTCGCCAGATCCTGATAGTTTTTGAGTTTTAATAGAATCTTCAAAAAATCAAACCTTCTCAAGTATCAACGCCCTTCAGCTGGAGACCTCCAGGAAATCAGCTGTAGTAAATCCAGTTGTATTTGTTTCTTGTTGCAGCAAGGAAAAATACATACCACAGGGAACTATGGGCTGCTTCAGTAAGAAGGCGTTCAGAAAGAACCTGTTACAGGATTTGGGCTTTGGCTGGTGCTTCAGGGAGAGTCTAAGGTATCAGGGATCTGTTCTCAATTGGATGCTGTCAGAAAGCCAGGGCAATTCCATGATTGGGCATCTCAATAAATCTTATCTACAGCGAGAGAAGACTAATATGAGAATAAAGCTGTAATTTGTAAAGAAGAAGTAACCATTCATTTTGGCCAAGAGAAAGGGTGTTTGGTATTTTGTGGGACAGAGTGATCTTGTCTGTGTTTAGACAAATTCATGAAGTGCTTTGCCTTATTTTATCATGCTTTTACAATGACCTTGTCCGAGGTTAGGATTTCACGAGATTATTCTCTGTCTAATAGGACAATAATATGGCTTAGCTGTGAGTGCCAGGCCAACTTCGGAATGTCAGGGGCTCTTCTTGTTTTTCTTTTTCATGTGTTATTTTTAATCTTTTCATCCAAATATAATGTACATACAGAAAAGTATATTTTTTTTAAAGATTTTATTTATTTATTTGACAGAGAGACACAGTGAGAGAGAGAACACAAGCAGGGGGAGAGGGAGAGGGAGAAGCAGGCTTCCTGTGGAGCAGGGAGCCTGATGTAGGGCTTGATCCCAGGACCCTGGGATCATGGCCTGAGCCGGAGGCAGACGCTTAGCGACTGAGCCCCCCAGGCGCCCCTGGAAAAGTATAATTTTTTAAAAAAGATTTTGTTTACTTATTTGAGAGAGAAAGGGAGATTGAGAAAGCACAAGCAGGGTGGTGGTGGTGGTGGGGGGGAAGCAGGCTCCCTGCTGAGCACGCTGAGCAGGGAGCCCAACGCGGGGCTCGATCCCAGGACCCCAGAACATTCTAGAATCTCAAGTAATGTTTGTTGAATCCTGACCCAAGCTTTCACACTTCCCGCCTTTCTTCTCTCCCCTGTCTACCTACCCTTCTACCCTGTCCACCTGTATAAGGTCTAACCCCACACGGTAACCACTCTTTAGAACACTTTCTTCGTACCAATCTGATGGTGCTTATTACGTTGTTTTGAGCACTAAATGAACATAGTGTTTGTGTTTTTGTTTTACAACACTTGGGACATAATAACCGCTAAGTGAAAATTAATTGTAACAATCATGTTACAGTTTCTGTGTAGTTTTGTGTAAATTCCTTTAGGGCAGAACCGTATCGTACTTTTTGGTTTCACTTTAGTGTCTTCAAAATACAACGGCAAAGGTCCTGTCAGAGGAGACTGTGCTACCTGCGGGGGCCACTGGGAGGTCCCCGCACAGCCCTGAGACGTGGAGGGCGGTTCCACAGGCGAGCAAAGCGAGACAGGGGGACGAGCGGTTCCACCAATCACACGGCTCGGGCGGTGAAGGCCCCACCTCCCAAATTTTCACCCATTATTCAAGTTAAGGCCAAGCTCTCAAGGAGCAGATGCGCGTGCAGGGATCCGAAGCCAGTTTGGGGGCGCTCGGGACACACCATCCGCGGAGGGGGCTCAGGCGGAACCTTCGTCCTCAGCTCGGTGTTTCCCGCGACTCCACTCCTATCGCTACACTACCAAATAGACGGCCTCCTTCCCCGCCCCGAAGGCCTATTCCGAGAACAATTTCCAGACTTCGGGACTAATAATTTCAGCGAAACGATGAATGGACATGCAACGAGTGAGGACAGTCTCTCCGACCAGCATCTCCCTACCGCGGCCCCACGACTTCCCTTAGGGGAGGGCGCCCACGTACGGCCGCCCACACTTGCCCAGCCCAGCGCAAAGCCCGCCGCGCCTCGCACCGCGCGCGTGCTCGGACGCGTGCTCAGGCGCACACACCGCCCCGCCCCCGCCGCGCGTGCACGCCGCCTCCGCCCCGCCCCGCGTGCACACCGCCCCCTCCCCGTCCCGCCCCGCCCCGCCCACCGGTGCTGCCAGCCGCCCTCCCTTCCGGAACTCTAAGCTGCGCCTCCCCGAGACCCCCTCGCCGGTGGAGGGACCCGGGTCGAGCCCGGGCTCTCTGTTAGCCAGAGGCAGGCGGAGGAGACCGGGTCGGCCGGGGCGAGCCGCCGAAGAGTAGCGGAGCCCGCCCTGCACGCCCGGGAGAGAAGTGGGAGGGAGGCAGAGATACGTGAGGCAGCGTGGAGTAAGTGAGCTTGGGTCCGACTCGAGGTCGGGCTCAGGACCGAGACTGGTGGGCCAGGCCTCCGAGCCGGCGTTACACCCGCTCCGAGGAGCACTGAGCGGACACAGAGGGACGGACCGAGCGAGGACACATGGCCTCGCCCTTCCTGCTCGCGGGGGCCACCACGGGCGACAGCGGCGGAGAGCTGAGCTCGGGGGACGACTCCGGTGATGTGGAATCCCTCCAGAGCCCCGAGACCGAGGCGTCCGGGAGCCTGACCGAGCTCTTTGAGAAGGCTGCAGCGCACCTCCAAGGCCTGGTTCAAGTGGCTAGCAGGGAGCAGCTCTTGTACCTGTATGCCAGGTACAAGCAGGTAAAGTCCTGGGGAAGGGGTGGATGCGGGAGAGCGACGAGAGGCCTTCTCTGTCCTCCAAAATCTAATAGTAAACGTGCTTGGTTGATGGCTAGGTGTAATGAAGTTTGCGTGTGTGTATGTATAATCATCCACTAAGGATTAGCATCCTTCTGAATATGGAGAGGGCCTTTCTGCTCTCCTGGGGGTGATATTTGCTGGACACCGAATGACAGTTTTCCATGTCTTCTCTGACTTGCACAGTGACCTTGCGCTTAATGCTTTTACCAGCTTCAGAACCTTTACAGATGAGGATGATAAAATAAGATTTATCATTCACTCTTGCTGAAGGGTCATATGGAGGTAATTATGGAAGTATTATGGTCACATGGAAGTAATGTTAAAAAAAATTGTGAGCTCCAAGAAAATTACATGATCGTAATAAAAGGGTGGTGCAATACAAAATAAAGTATTATACTTTTGTTATTGTATTTTTAAAATCCTAAATATGTTAGACTTATGTTTTGACTGAATGGGCTTCTGATTTTTAGATAAAATTATAAACACTTTAGGGCTAGTAAACACCAGGTGAAATAATCCTCTTCTTTTGCTGGAAAGGAAAGGGAAGCCCAAAGAGAGTAGATAACTTGCCTAGGGTCATACAGACAGATCAGTCAGAACTAGAACTAGATTGTAGCTCCTGACTCTAAGGCTCTGAACTTTACCTGGAAATAAAAATCGTAATGTCCTATAAGACATGTCTGATTTATCATTCAAAGAGTCAAAGGTACCAGAAGGAGAAATAATTGCTTTATTATAATCAACCAATACTTGTATAACATCTTTTATGTGCAAAACACTTGGGTGTTATGCCTGCAGGGAGTGCAAAGAAGAAAAAGCATGATGGTATTTGCCTTCAAGAGACTTAGAAAGTTACTTGAGGAGTCTAGATTTATTTTTTTTTAAAGATTTTATTTATTTGAGAGAGAGAGAATGAGAGAGAGAGAGCACGAGAGGGAAGAGGGTTAGAGGGAGAAGCAGACTCCCTGCTGAGCAGGGAGCCCGATGTGGGACTCGATCCCGGGACTCCAGGATCATGACCTGAGCCAAATAACCAACTGAGCCACCCAGGCGCCCTAGGAGTCTAGATTTAAACACGGGAAAAATTGCTAACAAGAGTTAAATAACATTTTAGGAAAACTCCAGCTCTTTGGAACACTGGAAGCAATGACGTTCTGGGGAATAGCCCATTTTATTTTACTAAAAAATTTTAACCTTTCTTTTGCTTCTTGGTATCTATTTCCTCCTGTATTCTTCTAAGAAAAAAAAATAGTTGTAGGGTCCCTCTGTATTCTTCAACTGAATGTACTGAATAGAGATGAATCTTCTTTTGAAGACTGATGAACTTCAGTTATGAATACCGGTTAAAGTGACTTGAGACACATAGCCATGGATACATATGGTATAAATTACAGTGTGGAATGAAAATTGCCCCTGAATTGGCCTTGGAATTTGCTTTCTTGCAGAAGTTCTGGATATCTTTTTTCTCTCTGGTTATTTATCCTGTCCCAATAACATTAAAATCAGACTTTCAATTATTAAACAAGAAGAGTTTATTGAACGTTGTGCTAGGACCTTCAACATGTCTGACTAGTAATTCTCTGGGCAGCATAAGACTGCTTTTCTCCAAATTCCCTGGAGAACATTCTTTTTCTTTCTAGGGCATAACTTTATTTACTGTTATTAGTGTCATCATTATTAATATCTGATTTCTGAGTTATCAGTGAACTATAGTCACCTGTCAACTGGTAACCATTCTGTCCAATGTATCCTCACTTCATCCAGGTATTCTGGATATGACATTGGAACAATTTTCATCAATCTCTTCTAAATTTTTTTTTTTTTTTTGAGAGCGAGAGAAAATCCTAAGCAGGCTCTATGCCCACTGTGGAGCCTGAGGCGGGGCTCCATCTCGTGACCCCGAGATCATAACCTGAGCCGAAATTGAGTCAGATACTTAACTGAGACACCCAGGCCCTCTTAAATATTTTATTATTATTTTTTAAAAGATTTTATTTATTTATTTGACAGAGAGAGACACAGCGAGAGAGGGAACACAGCAGGGGGAGTGGGAGAGGGAGAAGCAGGCTCTCTGCAGAGCAGGGAGCCCGATGCGGGGCTCAATCCCAGGACCCTGGGAGCATGACCTGATCCGAAGGCAAATGCTTAGCCAACTGAGCCACCCAGGTGCCCCCAAAGATGCTATTTTTAACACTATTTCAGAATTCTGTTAAAAATAAAATATTTAGGGCACCTGGGTGGCTCAGTCGTTAAGTGTCTGCCTTCGGCTCAGGTCATGGTCCCAGGGTCCTGGGATCGAACTGTGTATCCTCCTTATCCCTCTGCCAGAGCTCCCCCTGCTTGTGTGTCCTCTCTCTCTCTCTTTCTGTCAAATAAATAAAAAAGCATCTTTGATAGCATAATAAAGTTGAAATTCCAATATAATTGATGCATGGACCAGAATTTCTCATGAAACAATTACATTTTGTATTCAGAGTAGCACTGCATTTTGGAGGCCGAATGAAATAAAGTTGTCCCCAGGAAGATAACAGAAATAAGCTGAGCTGTGAACCTTCTTTTCAGAACCCTAAACTTACCTAACATCGTAGCTCTTTTAGTCTCAGATAAGCCTGTGGCTCCAAAGTCATCTTTTAGTGAGGTTTCAAAAAGATCACACCAATGAACAGTTTTTTGGTCCTCTGCATTAGCCTACACTTTCCCAGCAAAAGATAACTAATTGACACCTGTGAAGACTCTATAGGATAATGAAAATTTCAAACCCCTGTTAGCTTCATTTCACCAGAGCCTTCAGCAGCAGCACAGTGAGGATACCCAGCATGTTCTCCTACTTTAACCTGGCCACACATGATTCACTGGCATTTGCCATTAGCCTCCTTTGTTAAAACATTGTTTTATCATATATACATCAGAACAGAGTTTGGGTGTTTTGTTAAAATGGCACATTTTATAACTCTGCTCTATAGCTATTGATTCATTATTCAATGATTTGGAAACTGTTGCTCATCATGTCCTAAAATCCCGTAGTTTTATTTACCCAGTCTTTTCTGATTCAGAACTATTGTTTGAATTTGGGAATGCAAAAGCTTATGTATCAGTTAGAATATAGGGTCAGCTGCTGAGCTTTTATTTTCATCACACATAATGGTCTGGAGGTAGGTGACCTAGGGCTGCTACGGTAATTCTGCTTCATGAGATCATCTGGGGGATTAGTCTTTTTCTGTTCTGTAGTTCAGCCATTCCCCCAAGGCAGCAGTTCTCAAATTATGGTCTAGAGACCGCTGAGAATCCCTGAGACTTTCTCAGTAGATCTATAAGATACAAAACTATTTTCCTAATAATACTAAGACATTATTTGCCTTTTTTCTCTTTGATAAAACTGCCGATGCATCAGCATGAATCAAGGCAGTGACAGCAAATTGTACTAGTAGTCATATATTTTACCACCATGTACTCAGAGTAAAAAAAAAAAAAAGGCCAATTTCACTTAAAAATGTCTTTGATAGGGGCGCCTGCGTGGCTCAGTCGTTAAGCGTCTGCCTTCGGCTCAGGTCATGATCCCAGGATCCTGTGATCTAGCCCCACATCGGGCTCCCTGCTCCGCGGGAAGCCTGCTTCTCCCTCCCCCACTCCCCCTGCTTGTGTTTCCTCTCGTGTTTCCTTTTTAATATTGTGTGTGATGAAATGGGGAGTACATGCAAGGCAGTTCTGCACACTGAATTATGTTGGCCATTTCGAGATAAAGCACTTGTGTAGTTTTTGAGTTGCAAGCTGAGCTGTCCACATTTTTCATGAAACATCATTTTTCCTTAATAAAACAACTCACAGATTAACTCTGCTTATTCAAATTTCAGTATTTGGCAGATGGTTTCTTCAAAGTGAATGAAGTGAGCCTGTCACTTTAAGGAAAACAGCTGACAGTGTTTGTTGCCAGTGGTCACATTTGAGCCTTCAAATGAAAATTAGAGGTTTGGAAAATCTGTGTCTGTCACATGAACTTGACAGCTTCCTGATACTTAAGAACTTTTTCGATGAGATTAATGGTGATTCTAATGATTGTAACTTCTGCTCTTGTATAATGTGTCAACATTGGGAAGGAATGCATAACTCAGTGAACCATATTTTCCAAATATTGCATGGAATGTTACAAATTATGTGTGAGTAAAAGATCCATTCAAAGTGCAAGTCAGACCAATGGATTTTAATGTAGCAGAAGGAAAAATTCATTGATACAACATCAGAATCCACATTGCATCCAATCTTGAAGAAACTGCCATTTGTTGAGTTTTGGTGTGGTATCAAAGAAAAAATATCCACAATTATCTGAAAAGGCTACTAAAATACTTTTTTCTTTTGTAACAGTGTATCTGTGTGAGCTTTTTCTTCATATACTTCAACCAAAGCAACATATTGCAGTATATTGAATAGATAATAGATATGAGAATACAACTGCCTTCTATTAAGGCAGACATTAAAGAGATGTGCAGAATGTACAACAGTGTTACTTTTCTCACTAAGCTTTTTGTGCTTTAGAATATACAGTTATTTTTCATAAAATTTTGTTATTTAAATATGTTAATGAGTTTATTATTTTTAAATTAGTTAATACACATTTTTACAATCTTAATTTTTAATATGTTAAATATTGAGAGATATAACCCACATAAACAAAGCTCCTTGGGGTCCTCATTTTTTAAGAGTGTAAAGAGATCATGAGACCAAAAATTTTGAGAATTGTTCCTCTCAGATCCTCTTTCCATGGCCAGAGATGGCTCATCATCACTTACATGCATGTTCTAGCCAGAGCTCAGGGAAAGGGAAGGACAAGCCCTCCTTTCTTTTCAGGGAAGATGTTTATATCACTTTCTCACACATCCAGTCCCCTCTCCCTGGGCCGAAGTTGCACGGTGTATGTAATGGTTTGCTGGATGACTACACGTGTGTCTGGCTGAGACTTCTATTACTGTGGGAGAAATGGAGAATAGATAGATATTGGTATTTGTTTCTACCACTGGCTGGTGTCTGGATAAAAAACAAAAATAGTAATGACTGCTGTTTTGATGATGTGTCATAGTTTCTCTCATGTTTCTAACAATCCAGTAGTTGAAGTGATTTGGAGATGCCTAGATTTGATGTGGCATGTAAAACAGAGTGCTATAGAAAAGGAATATTGGACTTTGGAGTCAAATAGTCCTAAATTCACATCCTGACTACTAATTCAGGATTTGCTAATGTGTGAACTCTGCATCCCTCCTTAGAGTCTCTGTACTCATTTATAAAATGAGTTTGTAATGGCAAACCTAACAGGATTGTTGCATGGTTCATTTGCCATTACATATATGAAGCTTTTGGTTTGTGGTGATCAAGAAATGCTCTCTCACTGTTTCTGCTCTCTCACTGTTTCTTCCTTCTGTCCCCTTATAATAGGGCTGCTCCTTTGTGAGTGGACATTTTAATATTCATCAGAGGGCCATGTGATTAATTGCTAAGCAAATGATGGAGATGATACTTGTTATGAATTCAGAGATGGATAAGATCATTGTAGACTGAAAGAGTTCTTATAATCTGAACCTTGAGTGGGACTGAAAGGTGTGAAAAGCTGACGGAAGAGGAGAAGGCATTTTAGGCGAGGGCAGGAACATGAGGGAAACTCAGAATAAAAATCCTTAAAGCAGTGAGTAGATCAGTCTGTTAGTGAGTAGACCATCAGTTTGATTTTAGTAAAATTCAAGTGTATAAAAGTAATAGTAGATGACGAGAAGGTCTCTGAGAAGTAGTTGGGGGTTGGATTGTGGTATTAGGAAAAAATAGGTATTTGGTTGAACACATGCCTGACATACTCATTCCATTCAACAAACATTTTTTACTACCATAGGTTAGGCACTATATAAGGTGCAATGAGTGAGTTAAGAATGGTTTCCTAGAGACTGTGTTCTGATAGAAAGATGAGATTTTACCCAAAACTTTCTTTTTTTTTTTTTTAAAGATTTTATTTATTTATTTGAGAGAGAGAATGAGAGATAGCATGAGAGGGAAGAGGGTCAGAGGGAGAAGCAGACTCCCCGCTGAGCAGGGAGCCCGATGTGGGACTCGATCCCAGGACTCTAGGATCATGACCTGAGCCGAAGGCAGTCGCTTAACCAACTGAGCCACCCAGGCGCCCTACCCAAAACTTTCTAACACCAGGTGAAAGTGGAAAGTGCTGCTGTCAGAAGTATGCGGAGTAAATGCTGTGAGAGTTCATCAGAGATTACTTTTGGCAGTGGGAATACGGGCTGTATAGTGAGTTCTGCACTTGTGTGAATTTCATTTATGTTTATTCACAATGAAAATAACGTATAATTTCACTACAAATGTTATTTGAGGATTACAAATAAGTATTGGCCACAAACAAGACGAGCTTATTATGGAGTAGATAGAATTTATATTGTTGCTGGAAAACCCTTTGAAAGTTTTTTGCAAGGCTGTCAGCATCCATATTTGTATCAATTAGTTTCATAATAGGATACTTTACAAATAGTATTCTTTATCCTGGAATTTGGGAGAGATAAAATGCTGATAGTGTAATGAGAATCAACGTAAATAAACAGAATTGTGAATTCTGATAAACTGTACTTCACAGCTTGTTTATTGCACGTTTAAAAATTCTATATGATAAATGGTAATAAGGATCACATAATCTATAATTTGCCTTGTATATATAATTTGTCTACTAGTTTAGGAATGCAAGTGTTTGTGACTCATATTTTTTTTATGTATCACAGTATTAGACAACAGTGGTTTTATGCAGTAAGCCAAAGCGGCCTGTGTTTTAAAATTTGTTTTTTTGGGGGCGCCTGGGTGGCTCAGTTGGTTAAGCATCTGCCTTCGGCTCAGGTCGTGATCCCGGGGTCCTGGGATCGAGTCCCGCGTCGGGCTCCCTGCTCCTTGGGAGACTGCTTCTCCCTCTGCCTCTCTCTCTCTCTCTTTCATGAATAAATAAATAAAATCTTTAAAAAAAATTTTGTTTTTTTGTTTGCTTTTACAAAGAATGTTAAATTTTGTTATTCTATATAGATGCAAATATTTTCTAACCTATAGTTACTGAGTATACATAATAAATTTGAAAATAAAAAGTTTCTCTGGCATTTCTTTGAAAAATAAGTTCTTTATTTTTTTCCCTCCCTTCAATTAGGTCAAAGTTGGAAATTGTAATACTCCTAAACCAAGCTTCTTTGATTTTGAAGGAAAGCAAAAATGGTAAGAAATTCTTGGAATCTAATGAGGTTGTTGGAAATGGTTTAGGTGTTTAGGAATTAGAAAGTAGTGAGCAGATTAAAGAATTATTTTTATATTAATCTCTCTGCTGTAGACTGTGCTAACAACAGGCAATTGGGAGAGAGATTAAAAGAATCCGCTTTTAGCTAAGTCTCCTAAAGGATTCTCATGCCATGATGTTGGTATACACATAGTTCATGATAGACATACACTCCTTATATACAGATAGCTTCTTAGAGAGTGATGGTAAGAGCTATTGCTTGAGATTTTCCTATCCTGTCATACAGCCCCTAACGGATCACCTCTTCTGCCCTGTGTAGGAATCTTTGAATGGACAGGAAGATGGGAAGGGAGAAGAACAGGATAAGTCCCCATTTTTATTCTTCTCCCCTGCCCCAATTTTATCTTCTTCTCTCTAGCGCTCTTCTGTACCTTGCCCCACCCACACCACAGTGAAGTGCTTATAATAACTGGTTGGGAAGAAAGGGGGGAAAAAAGATACTGAATCCACTTCTTCCCTAAATCTATAAAAAGATTATCCCCGTCCCAGTTTTTTTACTTCTAATTCAGAGGTTCCTCCTTATCCTATGAGGTCTTATTTACTCTTACCTTGTCTAAGTGAAAAAAAAGAGAAATTGCATACAATAGGGACCCTTAGTTTTAGGAGGAAGAACTTTGGAAGCGTCAGCCCTGTAATTAAAAGTATAAAGGATAGGGTTTAAAAAAAAATGAAATATGGTTGAAGAGAGAAGAGTGCTAAAAATGGATTCTAACTTTACATTCTAGAGCAGTGCTACTCAAAATGTGGTCCCTTGACAGGTTGCCTGTCTGCGAACTATTTGTTACCCGGCTGTAAAGTCATGCAAAGCTTGAACTTCATTGTAAATCAGTTATGTCATTAGGCCCATGTTTAGTTCTGCTGACTTTGTGTAGGACATTCTCAGTGAAGGAAGCAGTGCTTTGATTTCCGTTCTAGCAGAAGCTTTCTTTGCTGATGATAACAAATAGTTCTCTGACACTTTATTACTGTTGTGGAGAATACCTGATGCAACTTTTATTGTGAGTTTTTTGTTTTAATTTTTGAAATTTCATAACTTCAGCATTATTTTTTTCCCCTATGCTTGCCTGGTTTTTCATTGTTTTTAGCAATTTTGAGAAGTTTTGATTTTACAACCACTATAATAATTCAGGCAAGAATCATCAATGGATGCTGAAACCATTAGATGAAAAACTACTGAGGAGCATTTACACAATCTGACGCTCAGTTTACTTTTTCATTACAAGGAAGACAACAGGAGATACTGCTTCTACCAAGTCCTTAATCTTATCTGTGATGATGGGAGGGACAAACTGATGTCATGTGCCCCTAATGTGATACATTGTGAAGGACATGTTACCTATATATTGCTTTTGCCAAAACCTAATTCTAATCATGATTATTCATTTTTGGCAAGAATACCACGTTGGTGAGGAAACCAATCAGACAAACCCAAATTGAGAGAGATTTTATAAAACAACTGGTTTGGACTCAAAAAATATCAATATCATGGAAGATAATTAAGAGGCTTAAGATACACAAAACTCAGTGCTGTGTGTGAATCTTGATTGGCTCGTGGTCTGGGAGAAGAAATCTATAAAGGACATTATTGGGAAATCAGGGAAATCTGAAGGTAGTCTATGTTTATATAATAGTATTAATGTTAAGTTTCCTGTTTGATATATGCTGATATACTTAGGGGTAGAGTGTTGGGATGTATACAGGTAACTCTCAACAGGGTCAGGAAAAATAAATTTGGAAAACCTCCAAAAGATGTTATATTCATTGTGGGAGCAGGAAGGTAGTGAAAAAACTGTGGCACTGAATTGTGTTTTACAGTGAATCAGTGGATCTACTTCCTGGGTGGAAGTAGTAAGAATTGGCAGGGCAAGACCAAGAAGGAGCCTGTCTTGGCAGCTTACAGGAGAGAGAAGAAAAGCATGACTCAGAAGGGGGCACAGGACTCAACTATTGCTCTTGATATTCATACTGCAAGTGGTCCCTACCCTCTTACTCATGAAAATTCTTACCTCTGTCCTTGCCACCCCTCACTTTTTGAAGTCCTTGCATCAGGATCCACTACCAGCAGCTTATAGCTGAGATAACAGCAAAAGGGGAAGGTGTATTTCTCACAGCTTAAATACAAAGTTCAAAACATTTTTCTAGGGAATATTTTGTGTGATGATTGTTCCCATGTTACCAAAATGCTGTATAAGGTGGAAACTACTTTTATTGGTCTGTAGATCATACCTTCTCAATAGGGTTGAAAGGTGGGTTTTGGGGAGTTATAAAATCTTGGATATTACAGTTGTTTGTGGTCTTCTAAGATTCATTCGATATGCAATATATCTGTGTTACAAAATTTCATGGGGGAGGGTGATTAGGAAAAAAAATGTCTAAAAAGGCTCCTTAGGTGGTGGGGCGTAAGGTGTGTGTTGGTATAGACCATTGTGAATGCAAAAAGAGAGCTACTCATCTGTGGCTTATATATATATATCTCACATCCTTAAAATGTGCATGCCAATTTTTAATACTAAAAAGGAATGTGTCATTTGTGTTACTTCCATAGATAATGATAGATCATTTTGGATATTCTTTACTGTAGGGAAGCATGGAAAGCACTTGGTGATTCAAGCCCCAATCAAGCGATGCAGGAGTATATCGCAGTGGTTAAGAAATTAGATCCAGGTTGGAATCCTCAGGTAAGATTTGATGATTGTAAATAATACTTTCCAAAAACATATCATCTTTCTCTCACATAAAGGTTTAAAACCAAGCCTAAGCTAAGTAGCATTCTTTTTTTTTTAAGATTTTATTTATTTGAGAGAGAAAGAGAGCATGAGTGGGGCAGATGGAGGGTGGGGAGGGGCTGAGGGAGAGGGAGAAGTAGACTCCCTGCTGAGCAGGGAGCTGAATGCAGGCCTGGATCCCAGGACCCTGAGATCATGACCTGAGCCGAAAGCAGAGGTGACTGAACCACCCAGGTGCCCCTTAAGTAACATTCTTAAAAGTTTTATTTTCTTAGGTTATAGAGTTATTGTAATATTTATCTACTTCAAAATACTATTGCTTGAATATTAACCAGTTAGTGATATTGAGAACTTCTCTGAATTGTAGAGAATTTTTTAAAAAAGATTTTTAAAAATTTACTTATTTGAGAGAGAGAGCAAGTGAGCAGGGGGCAGGGGCAGAAGGAGAGGGAGAGAGAGAGTCCCCTGCAGACTCCACGCTACTCACAGAGCCTAATGTGGGCTCAATCTCATGACCCTGAGAGCATGACCTGGGCTGAAACCAAGAGTCAGTCGCTTAACTGACTAAGCCGCCCAGGTGCCCTGGAATTGTAGAGAATTTTTAAAAGCATAATAATAATTTCAATTTTGTAAAAACTCAGTTCATTTCAGAATTTGAAAGAGTTTAACGTGAGATCATCATTATCTTGAGAAATGGTAGGTTTCTCTTAGATTTTTTTTTTTAATGAGCACTTCTGTGCAAGTACAAAATGCTTTTTGATGTGGATAAAATATGAATAAGATATGCTTTCTGCCATTACATAATTTAAAGTATATTAGTGAAGATAAAATACACAAAATATAGTAGTAATGCAAGTGCTAGGGAATCCAGTGGAAAGAGAGATTACTTTGGACCTTGGAGGTATTGGGTATTGTTCACTTAAATGTACCCTCTTTTTCTGGTATAGTTATTGGGGAACATCTAGAAAGACTTTAATAAAGGTGGGGGTTGGTAGTTTATTTCAGAAATTTTTCTGAAACATTGGTGACAGGTGTTTTAGTGGGATAAAGGCATCAGTACCATGTTGAAAATGCAAATTGTGTATTACTTTTCATTAAAAATATTTAGGCCAAACATTTCAGTGATGAATGAATATAGCAACTTTCAGATTTTTTGGTAATAATTATTTCATTGGTACACATGTTTTACCAGTTTGACGGAATTTTGTTCAATAATCATGGAATCTTAAAATTCAGAGTTGTGGGGCGCCTGGGTGGCTCAGTTGGTTAAGCGACTGCCTTTGGCTCAGGTCATGATCCTGGAGTCCCAGGATCGAGTCTCGCATCGGGCTCCTTGCTCAGCAGGGAGTCTGCTTCTCCCTCTGACCCTCTTCCCTCTCATGCTCTCTCTCTCTCTCATTCTTTCTCTCAAATAAATAAATAAAATATTAAAAAAATGGTTATAAAAAAAAAAATTCAGAGTTGTGGGCGCCTGGGTGGCTCAGATGGTTAAGCGTCTGCCTTCGGCTCAGGTCATGATCCCAGAGTCCTGGGATCGAGTCCCGCATCGGGCTCCCTGCTCCTTGGGAGCCTGCTTCTCCCTCTGCCTCTCTCTCTCTCTCTGTCTCTCATGAATAAATAAAATCTTTAAAAAAGAAATTTAGAGTTGTAAGGTACCTTAAAGATTATATATTATGATGTACAAAAGTATATCTTAATTGTGAATACAAAGAGGGAGAGATAACCAGCTTAGGGTATCTTTAAAGATACAGCTGCCTTTTTGAAGTCATTGAAACTTTTCCTGATGTTTTGGTGTGCATGAATATTTTCAGAAATATTCCATTTTGTTAGTATCTTTTACGAAACATAAAGTTTGCATACAAATGTATATCATAGAGGTCCTAAGGACTTAGTAAATTAAGTGGTGAAAACAGGTGCCCCTCTGAGCTGAACTCAGCCTGAACGCATATGCCACAGTGTTTAAAAAAACAAAACAAAACTTGAGTTTGCGTTTTGGTGAGTACTTTACTTTTCAGTCTCTGTGGTCTTAGTTCTTCCCTATTGATTTTACATGACTATCTCTGATGCCTGGCCTATGTAGGCGTTTGAGTTTATAAGTTCTGACAGATGACAGAATTTATTATTTCTTACCTTCAATACCTTAATTACTAAATACAATTCTGCTAACTAGCACTCTTTTTCTTTTTTAAAGATTTATTTATTTATTCTAGAGAGAGAACGTGCTCATGTGCAGGAGCGAAGGGAGGGGCAGAGGGAGAGGATCTTCAAGCAGACTCCCTGCGGAGCCTGGAGCCCAACTTTGGGCTCAATCTCACAACCAACCCGTGAGATCATGACCTGAGCTAAAACCAAGAGTGGATGCTCAACTGACTGAGCCACCCAGGCGCTCTTGTTAACTATAACTCTTAAAAATGGTTGCAGAGTTCATGTGGTTAGGTAGTTCTTCCTTTTTTTTTTTTAAAGATTTTATTTATTGATTCATTTGAGAGAGAGAGAGCATGAGGGGGGGAGGGTCAGAGGGAGAAGCAGACTCCCCGCTGAGCAGGGAGCCCGATGTGTGGGACTCGATCCCGGGACTCCAGGATCATGACCTGAGCCGAAGGCAGTTGCTTAACCAACTGAACCACTCAGGCGCCCAGGTAGTTATTCCTTACGGAAATTTAAACAGGCAGTAAGGATGCTTTTTAAAAATATGTAAATTTCACCTATTGAACATAAATTTGAGTAAACTAAGCAGAATCAAAGGCACTTTCAAATAAAGATCATTCTCTCAGGGTCATGAGATCAAGCCCCCGTGGGGCTCTGTGCTGGGTGTGGAGCCTGCTTAAGATTCTCTCTCCCTCTGCTACCCCCCACCCCATCTCCCGCATGTGCATTTGCTCTCTCTCTTTCTCTTAAAAAAAAAATCAAAGATCATCCTTTAATACATTGTTCTCAAAATGTTTTGTCATCTGTAATCTAGTTGTAAAGAGGAATTTTATGTTTTGTTTACGTTTTTGCTTAATTTAAACATTCTGATCTGGTTCCCTTTAACTCAGCTTTTGTTCCCTTTCTTTCTGACTGGTATGAAGTAGTTCGTAACTGCAATCTCAAGACATTTGATATTTCATTTATTATCTTTTAGGTTAGAGAATCATTTTCTTTTGATACTAGTTTCTGAAACCAATGAAATAATAACTCATTGCTGAATGTGCTAAGCTCTTTACATGTGTTGTCCTTTGAAATCTTCACAAGAATCTTAAGATTTTTATTTTTAAGTAGTCTCTACAGCCAATGTGGGGCTCAATTCATGACCCCAAAATCAAGAGTTGCATGCCCTACTGACTGTGCCAGCCAAGTGCCCCCACCAGAATCTTAATTAGATTAGAAACTATTATTGGCAGGGCGCCTGGGTGGCTCAGTCGTTAAGCGTCTGCCTTTGGCTCAGGT